TCTACAGGGCGTGCAGTGGTATCCTGCTGTGGCTTTTAACCTGCATTTCTCTAATTAACTAGTGAGGGTCGACCCTATTAACCCTATTAAAAGTGTTCACGTAAGTGCTTATTCATATACCAGGTCCAATTTTCTATTCAGTTACCTTTTTTCAAATAAACTCTGAATATGAACATATATATATATATATATATATATATATATGTATATATATATAGTCTCAAAAATGTATACACACACTTTGAATAATTATAAAAACAGTGTTTATTAAAATATATTTCACTTGCAAAATTAAGCTACCATCTGTTAAAGCGTTTTTGGGGACACCCCACAAATATATTTCCATTAAGGTTAGCACTCTTTTGTGTTCTGTTTAAGGAATCTTTCTTTCTTTTCCCACCTCTGAGGTAAAATGATATTTCTTCTATAAATTTTATTTTATATTTGACATTTAGATATAAAATCTACCAGGAATTGTTTTGTGTGAGTAGTGCGAGTAGGGGTCAAGTTTCATTATTTTTCCTCATGTGGATAGCAGTTCATTACGCTTCGCCCAGTGTCCTACAATGTCAAGGTTGTCATAAACCAAGTGGCTATTCACCAAGCTGCGAGCACTGCTGTTGTTTTTCCCCTATTCTTCTTTATTTCTGGCCTCTGGAAGAGTTTGTGTAACACTGGCATTATTTTATCTGTAGATTGGAAGAACTTACCAGAAAAGCTATTTGGGCCTAGAGTTTTTCTCGTAGAAAAGTATTCAATTACAAATTAATTTAATATTTCAATTATTATTTAGCTTTCCTATTTCTTTTCTCCATTTTGGTTAGTTGTATTTTTCTTTTTTGGGAAATATGTCCGTTCATCTAAATTTACAAATTGCCTTTGGCATAAATCTGTTCATAATATACTCTTCTTATTTTTTAATTTCTGCAGGATCTGCTGCAGGTCCCCCTTTCATCCCAAGCATTGGCTATGTGTGTACACTTTCTTTATTTCTCTATTGCCCTTGTAAGAGAATTATCAATGTATTAATGTTTAATGTTTCAAAGAGATTTTTTTTCAAAGTATCAACTTTTGGCTTTGTTGTTTGTATTATATTTCAAAAATGTATGTCTTTATCTTTATTACATATTTCCTTCCATTTTCTTCCTTCCATTTTCTTGATGTTTGTTGTTTTGTTTCTAACTTCTTGACAATTTTAACATTGATTTTCAGCCTTTGTTCTTTTGCAATAGTATGTCTAAAGCTATAAATTTCCATAGATTAAGAGGTTAGCAGCAATCCGTAAATTCTGTTACATTTTTATTGTCAGTTAAATTTTTTGTGTGTGTGCATGCATGCGTGTGTAACAGAGATGTAATTTTTATTTCTAAATAGATGAGAATTGTTGTTTTAAAATATTTGCATGGTAAATCTTTCCTTTTTCTATTTCTTTACATTGAAACTTTCAGTATCCTCATGTTTCACATGTTCTTTAGAAATCTTAAGCTTTAAGATATATTAATGAATTTATTAATGTGAACTCACACAATTTATTATTCTATTTTACTCTTTCAATTAGTTTGGGAATTATACACCCCGCTAGTATTCTTTCAGTGGTTGCCTCTGGAGCTATAATAACCTGCTAGCTTGGTTTATCAGTGTATAATGTTAAATCTTGTTCTTTCAACCTCTCCTGACCTCACTAACTTTTATAAATTGTTCTTTGTTCCTCCTTGAATCTCTGAGCATTTGGGGTCTGCCTGTGTTTCATTCTTTCTATTTTTATTATTTCTATAAATATTCTAACTCCTCTTCATTCTTAAAGGAGTTTTTTATTGTCTATAAAACTCTAAATTGGCAGTTATTTTATTAGAGCAAGTTAACTATGTGTTTTTATTGTCTTTGGACTTGAATTGCTGCTCTTTTGAAGGTAAATGTCTTTTTCACTTCTGGCTGCTTTGAAGACTCATGCTTGATCTTTCGTTTACCACTGATATACCTAGGAGTGGTTTTCTTTTTATTTATTCTACTCAAGTCTTGCATGTTTTCTTTTTTATTTTTACCAAAATCACATTTACAAACAGTTACCCTTATCAAATGTACAGATCTAGGAATTTATGGGGACACACGCATTCCTGTTTGTCAACAGTGCCACATGCCCCTCTGCAGTTGACTGCGTTCTGAATGTTTGTATCCCACCTCGCCCCAATGTTAAAATCCTAATCCCCGAGCTGATGGCATGTGGAGGTGGGGCCTTTGGGAGGACACTAGACATGAAGGCACAGCTCTCATGAATGGGATTAGTGTCCTTATGAAAGGGTCCCCACAGATCTTCCAGGCCCCTTCTGCCATGGGAGGAACAGAAGTGGGCAGTCGGCAGTCTGCAACCTGGAAGAGGGCCCTCCCTGGAGCCTGATCATTCTGGCACCCTGCTCTTGAACTTCGAGCCTCCCGAAAGGTGAGCAGTACATTTCTGCTGTTTATCCGCCGGTCAGTCTTTGGCATTTTGTTACAGCAGCCTGAACTGACTCAGACAGCAGGCCCTCCTCTGCCCTGCACTATTCCCAGCCTCTGGCAACCACTCATATGTTTTCTGCCCTATAGTTCTGCCTTTTCCAAAATGTCATATAAGTGAAATCACACTTATACTCTTTTGATTCTTTTTTCACTTAGTGCAATGTGTTTGAGATTCATCCATTTTGTTATGTGTAAGTAGTTCATGGTATTTTATTGCAGAGTTTTTCCATGTGCTGCTGGTCAGCCTGAAAAATGATGACCCTAAATGGGTCCACCTATACACACTCACACCTCACATAATTGCCTCCCACCTAGTGGACTGAATACATAACCTGCTTCGAACAAACAGAATGTGGCAGAAGTGTTTGATGTCCCCTCCAAGAATGGGCTGTATAAAGACTGTGGCTTCCACGCAGGTATTCTTTCTGCCTGTCTTGTGGATTGCTTGCTCTGCAGGAAGCCAGCTGCCCCGCTGTGAGGCCACCCTTATGGAGAAGCCCGTGTAAGTGAGCAGGGAAGTGGGTCTTCTGAGGCCTATCAGGACCCATGTGAGTGATCTTGAAAATGGACTATCTGTCAATCAAGCTTTAAGATGACTATAGTCTTGGCTGTGAGTTGATGGCTGCGTTACAAGGGACCTTGTACCAAAGACACTCATCTCAGCCACATCCATATTCCTGACCACAAAATCTGCAAAATAATAGCTGTTTTTTCTATTTAGTCTCTAAGTTCCTGGGTGGGGAGGGTAATTTTTACACAGCAATAGGCAGTTAATACAATCTAGTCACCAACTGAAGATAACTTTATTGTTTTCCAGTGTTAGGTGATTATGAATAAAGGCACCCCAATCGTTGGCATACAAGAGTTTGTATGGACACTGTTTGCATTTCTCTGGAGAAAGTACCCAGGAGTGGGATTAGCAGTGAGTCAGACAGAAAGTGTATGGTGAGCTTGATAGGAAACTGCCAACTCAAATTTGTTTCCTGATGGTCTTTCATCAGCATGGGAAATTCTCTAACCAAATCTTTTTCTTGCTCACATACCTTCTCTCCTTTCCCTAGGAGTCCAATAACCCTTTTCCCTGACTGTATCCTTTATGCCTCTAAACCATTTTCTGGAATTTCCATTCTTTTTTTTTTTTGCTTCTTTATGCCTCATTCTGGATATTTTCTGATTTGTTTTTCATTTCCCTGGGTTTTTATTTTTAAGTGACTGTGTCTAGTTAACTTTAAACTCACCCTCCATTGCACTTAATTTTATGACTGTGTTTTTTAATTTCAGAATTTCCATTTGACACGTTTTTATGGTTTTCCATTTCTGCTGAGATTCTCAATCTTTTATCTCCTTGGGCATAGTAAATGTACTTATTTTAAAGTATGTGCTTTTGAAGTCTGATCTTTTGAACACCCACGGGTAGGTGTTGGCTGCTATTTCTGCTTATAATTTTTTTCAACTTATTTTGTGCCTGATTCTTTTGACTATGTATTGAATTGAAGTACACATGCTATAATTGGGATATATACATACTCACACACACACACACACGCACACACATATATATATATATATTTCTCCCAGGTACCTGTGGGTCATGTCAGTCCCTGAAGTTGGGTGGAGATGATTCATAGCTAAACAGTGGTTCCTGATTCTGATTCATATGACTCTTAGAATGGACACTTCAGGGCCCCACCCCATGGCCTTGGAGGCCCTAAACTCAGTCTGTTCCCTCAATTCTAGGAGGCAGTCAGAAGCACAGCCCAGTCTTCTCTGCATGAGGTGAGTGCCCTGAACATCCCTGGGGGAAAAGCCTAGATTATATGGATTCTTTGCTTGGCCTCCATTGCATTTCACACCCACTTTTTCATTCTCTCCCAGTGTTTCACTGTCTTAGTTTTCTAGTGCATTGAATCAGATTAAACCAATAAAAAAAAGTTTTGTCTAGCTCTTTTGGATACTCTCAGAAAAGCGTTGGTATGAATCTTTCCATCAGCCAGCACTAGAAGCCCTGGGCTTTTTATATGTGTGAGAGAAATAAGTTATTTGTTTAGGCCACTATTAGACAACTTTTGGATACACATGGTTAAGCCAATTTCTAAATGACATGTTGATACACTTGAATTAAATAGTTAAAGTCAGTTTGGTGTTTACCATGCCTTCAATATTATTTTTCCTTTACACTTTTTAGGTATGAGAAGAAAAAGATTATGTTTTAATTAAAACATCCATCTCCTCCTTCTGCTCAGTAGAAGTCTCATTTTATACTGGTTCTCATAGACCAAATACTTCAAAAATATCTCTGAAAAGTCACCTAATACTTAATACAATTTTAATTCTTTAATTTAACCTATGTTGACAATATACCCTATGGTGACATTTCATAGTTTATATTCTATTTTCCAGTTTTTAAGCCTACTTCACTTTTTTAATGTTTTAAATCCATTCTTCCTAGAAAGTTGTGCAATTTAAATCTTGTCTATTTACTTCAGAGTTTAAAAAGTGCTTACCATTTGAGACGGAGTTTCCATTTTCAGTGGTGATAGCACTAGAGAGTGAATTAGAAAGAATTCCATGGTTATTTGCGTTTCTATCTTGAGTCTCTGATGCGATCTCTGATATACCAGGATCATCTCGGCTAGTCAGGTTCATGTTAGTTTCAAAACCTAAAATAAATTTTAGAAAAGATTATTCTTTTTATGATAAAACAGACTGAATAAGTTGAATAAAACACTGAGAGGAATAATAAACTTATCAAACCAAACATTAATTACATTCAAAATGATAACTTAGTAACAATACTTAATCAAATTTGTGACCTACAAAATATTTATCAAATTTTGCCGAAGCATTGTTAAACATAATGGCCTACAAAATATTCAACAAACATTGTTAAACTAAGTGGTGAAAAAAATTTTGATAATTTGTTATTTACAAACATATCTATCCAGAATTTTTGATGTCATAGGTCAAATAACTTGTCATTACAGCACTGCCATTTGAGAAGGCGATTTCCTTAAAGTATAGCAATAGTTATATTTCAGAAGTTTTCTGAATTGTTAAACTAAGCAGGGCTGAAGCAATCTTACAGCTTTGGAATAAAATAAGAAATATATTTTTGGCATTATTATAAAATGTGTTACTATCCATTACGGAATACTAAACTTTAAATCCTTACCTCTGCATTCTACAGTTAGCAAAGTTACCTGCATGTTACTGCATGTCCCAAACTGAGTGCTCTGAGATATGCAGACACAGAAACTACTGTCCAAATGAGGCTAAAGAGCCAAATAAAGATTCTTTCTTAAAACTATGTATTTCCAATAAAGTAAACTATAATATATGCTAAGGTTTGGAGCAATGTCTAACTGAAGTAGACTTTTACAGAATGACAGTAGCATCCTTAGGCAGGGTTTACGAGTGAGAATGCACAAATCGAGCACAACTGTCATCACGGTGCCAGGCTCACGTCCCCCACCCCTGCCCACAGTCACGTTCCTGCTCTCAAACTGGCCAGGCACAGGTGGGATTGGCTCTGGCTTCCCCAGGAACCTGAGAAAAGCTCCAGCCTACAAGGAGATTTTTGTTCAACATTAAGAACATACATACTCTTTCTGCTCTTGTCTGTTGGTACACAGTAAGTTCTGGCCGTCTTTAGTTAGGCCTGGTTGAAGTTTTAGCCTAACAGATCATTCAAAAGGAATAATAAGTGTGATTTACTTCTTGTACTTTACATGCGAAGAACAGTTTATCTGCCGCGATCCCCATAAGCAGGGCCTCGGTAGGCAGAGGGGTTATCCCTGTATTGCTGGAAAGGGATTTAAGGTCTTCCAGGGCCTCACAGCTGGAAAGAGGTAGACTAGAACTTTAACCTATTAATTCTGACTATTGTTCAGTTTCTGTTTTTCACTAAAAGACAAGTTAGACTATGCCATTTCCATGTCCTTTCAATGAGTTGCTCCCCAAATTCTAAGGAAGGAAAGAGGGAAAGTAATGAGGGAGGTGGGAGGAAGGGAGGAAGGGAAAAGGAATGAAGGAGACAGGCCAGCCAGCCCTCTAGGGCTTGGCTCCCAAGGCTGGGCTTGACTCGATCCTAACTCTTCCTCCTGGACATTCTCTCCCCTTGCCCTTGAGACTCACACTCAAATAGCACCACAGGCCATGGCATTTCCCCAGATGCTCCATATCGACTCCTGTTTCAGTGCCTGGTCTATGCATGCTGCCCACTCATCAGCCTGCCTCTTCCTACCCACCACTGAGGGCCTTGTTCAGATTGTGCACAGTGCAATGACCCCTCATTTACTAGGAAATAATGTGCCACACCAAGAGGAGCCCGGTCTGCCCAAGCAGGACGGGGTGCTAAGGTTTAGAGCAGAAAATGCTACACAGAACGAACGCAAAATGAACAGGGCTTTGAAAATCAAGGAGGAGAGTTTATATTTCAATGATCCAGTGACCCACTGCAGCTCCTGACTCCTTGCACTTAACTTAATGGGAAGTGGGGGTGGGCACCCAACATTTTCAGGAAAATATCTCTAGGCGGTCACAGTTAGGCTCAGAGAAGGACTGAAACAAGCAGCTGTGCTGACAGATAACCTCCCACATGTATGAGGACCCCAAGCAGGAAAGAGCTCCCCTTTTTCAAAGAACCAGGTCCTGATGAGTTGGGCACATGGAAGCAAAGGGCATGTGAAAAGGGGGAGCAGGCATATCAACCAGAGCTGCTGGGGAGGCCACCACAGGCAGAAGTTTAGCTTTTGTTCTCAGTGTGATGGGAGATTGACAGAAGGGTATGAAGCAGGGAGGTCCTCCCTGGGGATATGGGGACAGTCCTCTTATGTCTGGTGGTACAAGACTCAATCCTCTGAGAGACTGTGTCTTGGTATACATATTTGATGTGAGTTTTCCTCATAACTGATTTCTGTCTCATAAACAATCGATATATATGTTATAGTCAAAGCCTTCATTTTTGCTAGTAAAGTTTAAAAAATATTTTCGTATTTCAGATCAGTGGGTGAAATTGTAGCCAATCCATGTTTTTAAATGTGTCATAATGGCCTGTGACCTTTACATTACCTACTAAGATTTTCTTTCTTTTTTTATATTAAAAGCATAGGTGTACTTAAGAATGACTCTGGATTGGAATAATGAAATAAGTCTTTCTTAATGTAAGACAAGAATTAATGGCCAACCCAATGATTATTATTCACAGTGCTTTTTACAATAATTACCATCTCCTGAGTGTTTATTACGTGCTAATCCCCTGCTAGATGTGATACTTGACTTAGCTCTTGTTTTCCTAACAATTCTTAAGAGTTGTCACTATCACGTCTATTTTCAAGATGAGGTCATTGAGGCTTGGGAAGGTTAATCTACATGCAAACATTTCACAATTAGTGTAGCAGATGGATTCAGACTAAGGCATGCAGGGCTCTACCACCCACCCACACTCATTCCTGTGCTTGGCCCCTTATGTAAAGTCTTCCTCTCCTTGTTTCACTGGCTGGTGTAAAAGGATAAGGCACCTTCCTTTCTGTGATTTTACCATCCATGCCTCAGAGGTAATGAGCTGGGAACTACAGGTTGAGAAACTGAAATAGAGTTTCGTCACTGAAATAGAGTTGCAAGATCAACACAGATGTCCCCACTTTGGGGTTATCCTTAGTCATTAATACTAACTGGGGGATTCGTATCACAGTGAATTCTGTCAGCCTTTGCTCATAAACACCCTTACTCCAAGTTAGATTCAAACATATAAAAGCATCGGTGCCCAAACTTGTTAATATCTTGCTTCAGCCACAATGAGGGTTAAATGCAGAAATTCTCAGTAACTGGATTTTGCTATAAAGTGTTAGTTTAGTGCATGAATAGCTGCAATGTTCTTTGTCAAAAGGCCGACCATTAGCCTGTACTTAAGCACTGAAGAAATTACAACAATGACAAATCCAGAGGACTTTGGCATTAAGACTGAAGAAGTCTTAGTTAGGAGAGTGTATGCACATGACGCATATCTTATGGAGACTTTTCAAAGGCCGTAAGAGCTAACAAAGTCATCAGGTTTGCTCATGCCTCCAAGCCGTGGCCACCGGGGCTTCGCAGGTGAAGAAAAGCCGGTCACACCAAAAGGAAATATTTGAGATTCTCAAGGAATCAAGGAATCTAAGCAAACAAGTAGGGAAGTGAGAACTTTAAGAGCCTGTATAATGCTCTCAGGTATGTCTGAGTCATTTTTTTGTCTCTACATCTTGTATAATGGGGCATCCTTTGGTCGGGTGAGTTGTAACACTGGTTGATTCAAATACCCGTGGTGGTTTCTTTTAGCCTATAAACAGGATTTCTCTGTGACCCTGCCGGGCGTTGTTTTTACAGGTATGGGAGAAATGAATCACATTGGGATCTAGCTCAAAGATAAAGTCTTGGCCTTACGTCAGGATATGATTATTAAATACAAGTATGCAAAGAAGGCACATTTAAGTTGAATTTTAATCTAGCGAGAGTTCCAGCAAATCACTAAACGTGAATACAAAAAAATCAGTTGTCCTGTGCTAGTTTTTATATAACTAAAATATCCTCCTTGGTGGCTGTGATCCTTTGAAACTGGTTTTCTAGAAGGTGATATTGCCACCCATGCTTCCCCACCCTCCCACCTCTGAGCAACATTTACAGGTCTGGGGATGCTTTTGGTTGTCACCCTGGGGGAGGGGGATGTTACTGGAATCTAGTGGGTAGACAACAGGGATGCTACAAAACACCCTACAATGTACAGAACAGCCCCTCATAATGAAGAATTATCTGGCTCAGGATGCCAATAATGCTGAGGTTGAGAAAGCCTATGATAAAACCTAAGTCAGATCATGCCATTTCCCCACTCAAGTCTCTCCACTGGTTTCTTATTTCATATTAAGATCCAAAGGTTTCCTGAAGCTCAGAGACCTTTCATAACCCGATCTCCTGCCCCCAACTATCCCCCTTGCCACAGGCCACCCCTGCATCCCTCACTCAGCCTCTTCTCCTGGAAGGAGCTTGGGGGCTCTGCTCAGATTCCCCCTGAGCAGAAGGGCCTTCCAGACCACTTTCTAGAAAACAGAACTCCTTCCCCTGCCCCAGGTCAATTTCTGTTCCCACTCCCTGCTTTGGTTTTTCTACAAAGTCCTCTCTGTGTGACACATTCCATTTCAGTTGTTTGTTTTCTGTCTCCTCGCTCTGGAACGTTGGCACCATGAGCTCAAATGCAATGTCGCTGCCTAGAACAGCGCCTGCCCATAGCAGGTGCACAATAAATACTTGTTGAAAGAAAGAGGAAAAGAAAAGAATAAATGAATGATTACAACAACACTGTGATAGACATTTCATTTTCTAAAAGGAACTACGCCCTTTGTAACTAAAATAATTGACGTTTCCTAACTGAACAATGCATGTGAATGACTGTGGAGAAATCACATATCACAGTAATAATTTCTCTTCATTCACATGAGATTATTGGAAGCCTATGAAAGGATTTCCATTGTTGATAATATGCCTCTGAGTTCTAATCTCTACTTATTTAAAATTACAAGCTAAGGGAAATTTCACATTGTATGAGGTGAGATTTTTCTACTTATTCAAAGGACTAGAACTGTTTTCTTTCTACCTAACTGTTAATTTGAGGAAGAACAGGCTAGCGGATGTTGGAAATTTTTTCCTGACTCACAGTGTGAGGGTTCACGTTTTCAGTACTGTCCAACCAATTATCATTGAAAAATATTTCATTATTTTCCTACGAATATGCAAGGTC